CCCCCCCCCCCCTCCCCGGCACTGCGGGCTACATTTTGGAGGTGAGGCTCGTACCACCCGCCTGCATGCACGCCAGGCGCTATGTCTCAATTCCTGTCCGGCTGGCGTGCATTGCCACCGGCCTCAGAATCATGGCTCCGGACTACAAGATGTGCCAACCTGGGTCACGCAGGACCAAAACGTTTGTGACCGGCGGTCCCGGTCAGATCCAAAACCACAGGCACCAAGTGACGGCCAAAACATCTCAGTGCTCTTTGGGGCAACGTGGGATTTATTTATTTATTCCAAGACAGCTGAAATCTATCCTAAAGCTGCACCAGCAGACAAAATCAAATGCACCTGCAAAAAAAGGAGAGAAGAAAGCAAAACCCATTAAATCCTGAGATTCCCGACAAAGTATTTAAGTCAGGGCAGTATGAATATTTCCTCCAAGGCTGTAACTTACTGCCCTTTGGTAAAAGTTGGGCCTGAGGAGATGAAGAAATGGGTTTAGAGTAAGAGAATCATTTTACGGCTAATAGTGTGAGATTTACAAACGGAGCCATGATGTGTCATGAGGAGTCACAGCCTGCAAGGCATCAGGGATCATCAGGCACCTAATCCCCAGAGTACAGATCCACAGTCACAGCCTGCAAGTCATCAGGGACCATCAGGCACCTAATCCCCAGAGTACAGATCCACAGTCACAGCTGGGGGATTTTATAAAGTGAATAGTGGCACAAAACAGCTACCCTCCAAGATTACTGTGCAGCAAACAGCAGCACTGAAAGAGACTTTCACAAGTGCAAAAACAGGGCACTGGGTACGAGGGTNGAAGTCATTCCTGCCTGTCTGCCCTGCTGCCTGTGAAGCTCCTACTACCTACTGTATGACGTTCCTTTGGCCTGCCTGCCTTGCTGCCTGTGAAGCTCCGGCTACCTGTGAAGTCCTTCTCTGCTGCCTGCCCTGCTGCTGTACCACCGCTCATTCTGCCATTGGAAGCAGCACCATCACCTGCCTGTCGTCACCTTCCCCTTGCATTTACACCCAATTTTTTGTAAAATTGGACTGTATAAATTAGGTCTTATTCATTTGACTTCCTTTGCGGGCCAATGGAGGATGGACTCCCCCTTTGAGTCTGGTTCCTCCCAAGGTTTCTTCCTTCTAGGGAGTTTTTCCTTGCCAGTTTCACCTCTGGCTTTGCTCACTGGGAGCTTTGGGCAGGAATAATGTAAAACGCTTTGAGACAATGGTGAAAATGCGCTATACAAATAAAACTGAACTGAATACGGTAGGAAGGAAAAAATGGCCACTTTCCTGTTACTTGCTAGGATACTTCTCTGCTTCATTAAACCGTACCGAACTGGCCAAACTCTCCCAAATCCCCTCCACTTGTTTTTGTACGCCTGCTGCACTTATTTACTTACTCACATGTGCACATGTGTTAGTACTACGGGGTGCCTAGCTGTGGTCTGTTTTCATTGGGGGCCCCCTGGTTTAAGAAAGGTTGAAACCCCCTGTTTAATATAAATCAAATATGGCCAGGCAGAGAAGCAGGGAGGCCCACCTCTGAAAGCTCTTTGAAGGTGCCGCTTGCATGATGTTGGGATCCGGGGTGTAGTTGTACATCTCTCCCTGCAGGTGGCGATCACCACCATAGTAGTGCACAGTCACTCTGTGTGGCCCGGTGTTGTTGGTGCTGCCGGTCACACATTCAATGCTGTCCTCCCGGATCTCAGACGAGCTGGGGACAGGGTGGGAATCCGAACAAACAGGTATGCTTTGCTGTCATCATTTTCAAGCCATCCGTCCCCGGCTGTCTTCGTTCCCGGTACTCACATGATGCACGGCACACCGCCGACCGTCACGCTGACCTCGGCTGCACGTCCCGTGCACAGGTGCCTTCCTGTTATGGTCAGGGAGGTACCGCCCGCTTTGGGGCCCCTCTGGGGATACACCTGGGTCACCTTTGGGTCCTGAGAACAGAGTACGGTTGGAAAAGCGAGTCAGGACACGTGGGCGAGTCCTAAGGCTGAGTCAGGACACGTGGGCGAGTCCTAAGGCTGAGCCAGCCCCTCCCTCTCCTTCATTACCTGGTAGCTGAACTTCTGAAAGGAGAGGCCATACTGCCCGCCGTTCACTTTCACGGACACTTGGCTGGTCTTCTCCCCACCGCTAGGTAACGTCTTGCACACGATTCTACAGGAAAACAAGGTACACTATTAGATTTCAGGGGGTCAAGGCAGGCCCCGTCACCAGTGTTCATTTTCACAGCATATATTAATTTAGTTTTAGTCTTAGTTGTTTGACAAGAAAGCAACTTAGTTTTAGTCATATTTTAGGTGCTTGATTTTTTTTTTTTTAGTTTTAGTCGACGAAAATAACAGGATATTTAGTCGACTAAATCTATAGTACATGTAGTCAAATGAAACTAACAGGTTTAGTTGTAGTCTAACATGCATGTACACACGCGCACACAGCTGTAAAGTTGTCATTGTAGCACGCCATTAGGCTTGAATATGCAGTCTAAGGACATAGATGTAACTTGTAATGCGGAACACTGCAATTCTTAAGTGGCTTAATATGAACTTTATCAAAAAAAAATGTAAATAAAACCAAAAATTTAGTCTAATACAAAGTACTTGCATATTAACACATCTTCATTCATATTATAAAAAAACAGCCAAAAAACTCTCAAAAGCTATTAAGCATCAGACTGTCGTGCAATAAGGGATGAAGGACACGGGAGCAGGAGATGGGACAAACAAACGGGGTTTTATTCAACTAATAGGCCGAAACAGAAAGGAACAGGATCATGGAAGGGTTGCTTTGGTCAGCTGGCTAGTGGGAGATTTTTAATTCATGACAGGTCTGCACATGCATTTACATGTACGGAAGAGTTGTATTACCTGGTAAATAGTATGCAGGGATTGCAAACTACACCAACGATTTTGATGCAGTTAATTTTAAGTTTATAATGGAACAATGTAGATTCAAGGTAGGATTTCTCACATGAGCATGAGTGTCAGAAAGCGTGTGTGTCACACCGGATGGGTGAGAGCTGGCAACCCTGGATTATAGGGGATCAAAACCGGGGGCACAGAACCATACAAACGGGACGGGCCACAAGCAGATCGACGTTAATGCCAGGGCTGGGGAGCACTTTCATACGAGGGCTAACGAAGGAGCAAAATGAGAGGCAGCTGGAGTGAATCACACCAGGGCAGGAACAAGAGGTAAGAAACATGTAACAGAATAAAAAACATGTTAGCCAACATAGTGGAGTGGAGCAGAATGGAGCAGGATTCTGCCTGACATGATGTTTTCCCGACGTGCCCAAACTAGTATTACCCAATTTTAAGTTTACAAAATTCCACCACTGTATTCATACTCTGTTGGCGGACTGTGTCATGTGTAATAAACATCTGCAAAGACCATCACATCGCTCATTGTCCAGTTGTCTGTAACTTTTGTTTGTTTTTTTCGTCAACAATGATTTTAAAAGCATTCAACTTAGTTTTTGTCATTAAAGGCGCCTTTTATTTTAGTTTTTGTTCCATTTTCATCACAGAAAAAAAAAATATATATATATTTTTTGGCCGATACGCATCCCAAGCCCAACAGGCAGCTATACCGAGATGAGATCTCATAGCGGCTGGAGTTGACAGTGCAGGGGAAGCCAGCCACGGTGACTGAGTGCTGGATATCTTCAGCTTTCTGCCCCAGGTTGGACCCGGAGATGGTGACCACAGTGCCCCCTTCCACAAGGCCTGACGTCGGTTCGATCTGCCACATGAGCGAGCATGAATGAAAGTGACTGTCATTGTTGACACACCACAACACACAGTGCACAACAAAATTAAAATGTCCTCTGCATTTAATCCATATGTGACATTGTGACATAGCAGGGGGCAGCTAATTCAGTACCTGGGGAGCAGTATGTGGGGATGGCACCTTAATCAGGGTACTTCACTGGTACCTTGCTGGTCGGGGATTCAAACCAGCAACCTCTCAATCACAAGTGTGCTTCCCTAACCATTAGGCCACCACTGCCCCTCATTACCTGGTTAGTCTACCCAGACCCCACAGCAACTCAAGGGTACCCCCACCCCTAGAGATGACTAAACCACTCGACCCTCTGTCATTACTAGGGCCAGTCCAACCCACTTCAGGGCCATAAGCAAAATCTCATTAACCTAGTTGGCATTTGTCATCTTCCTTCTCAATCCAACAGGCTGCTCAGATGGGGGGCCCTCTGGTGGCCACTGGGCCCTAAGCAGCCGCTTAGGTCACTTGCACTTTGGACCGACAGTGGTCATTACCCATTTCTTCGCTAGCTGGTTTCATTCAACAGGCCGTACTGGGACTCACAAAGTGGATGACGGGGGCCGGGCAGGTCTGCTCGATGCGGTCGGCACAGGAGTCCCGGTAGAGGCAGCCGGGTCGCGTGCCCCCACACCACGCACAGCCGTACTTGCGGGGTGCAGTGTGGCAGCGGCTGCAGTCCGAACGGCCCGCTGAGCAGTTGTACAACGTGACTGCGGGTAAAGGGGAGGAGAGTGCGTCAATGGCCCATATGTTCGATGAAGGTTCGTCGGCCGACCCAAGTATTAGCCGCTTGGCTGAACTAATTACTCAGCTAATTTCCCTGTCCGAAGGGTGCTGCTTGTTTAAAGACAGCTGGTGCTTGTGTGCGCCAGAGGGACAGGCTTTAAAAACCATCTCACACTTGTATGCAGGGCCGTCGCCAGGGAGACATGCTTTCCCAGCCCCCCCCCCAATTCAGCGGAATGTACCAAGGGGGCCTAAGATGACATTTTGTTAGGGGGGCCCAAATTCCTTGATATGCCGTTACTTGTATGCCCGCTTACCATAAAGACTCTTGGAGCTGTCTACATGAAAGGAGTCTTTCCGTTTGACGTATACCATGGCATTGTACTCCTCGACGGGGGCAGAATATGAATACTGAAACGTAAGAGGGTGAGACATTCAATTACAACTCCGTTTCTGGGGTATTATCAAATACATATAATCCTAAACACCCCAAACTAACAGGTAATATAAGGACTTCAATGGTGAACAAATATAAAATTGAAATGGTCAATTATTCAACATAGAGCTAGTAAGATTCGGACCTGGTTCGACTGGCAGGTGATGTCATAGAGAGAAGAGTCCATCTCATTAACTTCCACATGGGAGTCGACCACAGCCGTCCTTCCCTCAATCACCAGCACACACTCGTATTTCAGCTCCGTGTCCTAGAGCGTTGTCACAAAGAGACGAGCATACAGACACACATGCACGTGAACCCTTAACACACACATCACCACAGGGACCATTTGAGATTAGGCACCTCTCAACGGCACCAAGGGCGACGCTAGAATTTCTTTCAGGTGGGGGGGGGGGGTGTAAGAGTAGCCATGATTTATACAGAGGGGCCAACCTTATCATTAGCATATGTTTTGAATTGGTGAGTGACAGGGGAGGGGGCACTCTTGGGACCAATCAACATTTAGTTGGGGCCTGTACCCTGCGGCCCCACCCCAGTATACTCCCAGTATAGCACAGGAGTAAGACATTCTTAGAGTAATGCTTTTTAGGCAAAACAAACACTGGTGGCTTGATTTCACAGGACCACATGGTCAGGACAACGCGAAGCCTCTACCTTGAAGAGCTGAAGGTTGCGTCCTTGCAGGGTGATCTTTCTCTCCACGTTGACAGGCAGCAGAGGAGAACCCAAGACCGCCTCCACGCAGGGGCACGCCGACACCCCCCGGGCCCAGAAGGCCCCCTCATCCTCCTGTGCTCACAGCACACAGTCCACTTTACAACCCCTTTCCCCAATCGCACCGTTCTCCTCAATGCTGCGGCAGAACAGGTGACTTCAGAGGCAGACGTGTTACAGCAGTTAAAATGGCAGATGTGGTAGAATTAAGGTTCAAAACAGAACGGGGGGAGGGAGGGGGAATTACGAATTTTAAAAACATCAGAAACTTATTAAAACCAAAACAGAAATAAATAATGACAGTAATAATGATGACATCAACAAGGCACACGGAGGGGGGGCAGGCTAACTGCTGCTCTTCCTGGGGAGAGCTTGACACGCCGCCCTCGTCGGCTCCCACTGACTCACCGGCAGGAATGACTCGTACTGGTAGTCTGGGTCCGAGTCCATCAGACGGAGGAAGTCCGTGGAGCCGTGATCCCAGAACTCCCAGTCGCCTGAGAGCAGCACAGCCGCCGCAGACGGGGCCGTGTCATTCTCTGTGGCCATCCTCGCCGCCGGCTCCTCCTCATGGAGTCTCCCTCCCTGTTCTGCGGGGGTCACGGTGGGCGCTGGGGGGACCGTGACCGCGGGGGTGGAGGTGGGTGGTGGGGAAGTGGTGGCTGGAGGGGGTGGGACTTCAGTCAAGGATGGGGGAAGGACATCTCCGGGGCGAGCCGGTGGCCCCAGGGGGAAGGGAGAGGAGTCAGGAGTGGTGCTAGAAGCTTCCGAAGGGGGTGGAGATTCAGTGGGGGGCTCAGCCACAGGTAGCGCGTCGGTCGGAGGTGTGGGGTCACTTGTGGGGAGGGCAGTCGCCGCTTCCGAGATGGGGTACACTGGGAGGGCCACAGGTGAGGGGTTAGAGACCCTGGAGGTGGGAGATTGGTCATCTGGCAAGACCTGGGGCAAGCCAGTCTCCGTCCCCTCCTCTTGACCAGTGGGAGTCACCACAAAATGGACATTTTCCACAACTGGATCCCCCTTTAATGTCGATCTCTCTTCCAGGTGGTCATAGAGTACGGGGGGAGGCTCTGTCACAGCTGTAGGCTGCAGAAGACTGGCTGGAGGTGTAGTCGGAGGAGGAGCTGTGGGTAGAGTGGTGGTCGGAGGCACCACCGTCGTCGTCGGCTCGGGCTCTGCTGTGGTGGCCGCCATAGTGGTGACTTCAGTGGTTGTAGTACCAGCAGTAGTAGTGGTGGTAGTAGGTATGGTTGCTTTGGTTGTAGTTGTGGTCGTGGCCATCGTTGTGGCCGCGGCTGTGGCTGAAGTGGGGCTGAGCAACTCCGCTGCTGCCGCGGTTGTAGGAGACAGAGTGGCTTTGGGTGTAGCCGACTGCAACGTGACTGTAGGGGGCGCTGCTGTCGGTAGCTTGGACTTCCGGTCGAAGTAAAACACCGACAGGGAAGAAGGAAGCATAGGAGGAGGGGGAGGAGGAGGGGGAGGAGGAGGAGGCAGAATGAAAGCAAAAAAGTGGAAATGAAAAATAAAAATTACAAAAAAAAAAAAAAAACTAAAACTGGAACAAAAGTTGCTGAGGGTTCTGCTGTAAATGAGCTGCACGCTGAGCCCCGAGCTGCCAGATGTTAGCGCAGATGGGGTATTAGGTACTGATTGGGTAATGGAGGTGCTGCAAAGCATACATAACAGGAGGTGGGCCAAATGGGCTTTGGATGCATGAATGACTTACCTGTGCATTGATCATGGGTCGTTTGGAGGACCTGACCAGCTCTCCCCATCACTCATTACTATACCAGTTTAGCCAAAATACCAGTTTTAATTTTGCACAGTATGGATTTTTTCATATACCGCGGCATTGCTGAAACACCAGTTGTAATGCTTCAATGGGCAGCAATTATACAATATTGTTTGGTGCTATAGAACTGCTATAGATCGCTGTGCTGCGCGTACTGAGAGGGGACTCCTGTTAACTGTGTGTACCCCCTTCTTATTAACAATTATAACTTTATAGCACAATAATTATCCATATAAAACTGTTTATCATTATAGTATTTGTAGCTACTGCTTCTATCTGTCTGAAAATTTGGATTATGTGTAATATAATTAGGGCTGCAATTAAATGTTCCTAATATTATCGATGTATCATGGTAATTATTAAATTCATGCCAGTTACATTGTTGGCAATCTAAGTATGGTAATAATCAATAACATGTACCTATTTAGCTAAATATTCACTTTTAATCTAATAAAACGTCAGTAAAACAATTCTTAGAGTTATTGACGTACATGGTTATAATCAATAAAACATGAATATACATAATGTAATGAAACGTCAGTTATACCATCACGCTAATTGTCAATTTTACAATATTTCATAAAACACCCCATTTTAAAAATGTATTTGTATTAATGTAAACACTTGCTACTGCAGTAAGGGTGAACTTGGGGAGGGGGGGGGGAATAGTATGCTATACTGTGAAACCATCAGAATCTTAAAAAAAAAAAATACCATGATACAAATTTTTGGTTAGAGCGGCCAGGACCCTCCCTTTGCCTGTCTGGCCTTGGAGGGCAGCATGTGTGCTGGTTGGCAGCAGGTCGCTGTATGGATCTGGTGAACTCACCTGCTCATTGTAAATGATGACTCCTTTCTCACACACTGTCTTGTGTGTGCACAAGTGCTGGTGGACGCACCAGTTACAGCCCCAGCGGCTGGTCACGCACCCACGGCATCTGAGATTGAGTGAGGGGCAAGGCAAGCTAATTGACCATTCAGGATTCAGATATCAACACGTTACTTAAAATCACCCATTTTAGTTATACCTAGTACACTACAACTCATGTGTCATTAGCCACAGATATTCAACGGTTCAGTATAACACAAGCAACAATATGGTAGACTGAGTGTTCAGCATAATAAAAACCAGGCAAAGTTCTTGAAGCAAAAGTGAGTGAACATGACGGCCCTCTAAGAGGAACAGACATTCAACAGAGCTGACAACTGGTGTCGAAAGAAGGGAATCGTTTCGGAGTTTGCTGCTGTTATTTTTGGGAGACAAAGCAAAACATAAATGCACTGAGAACGTGACACAGTACAGGAATGACATCTCTATTCAGCTATGATTTTTCTAAGAACGAAAAACTACAACACAAACTCTGAATAAACAAACCTATTTTACCAGTTTAGGTTTTGTTCGTTATGCGCAGATGCAGGAACAGTTCAGTGTAACTGTCAAGCAATGTTAGATAGATGGGCATTTTGGTCACACAGAAAATATTATGCATTTGTTTTGGGATTGATGTGTGACATGTAACATCATAATGAGACTGGGCTTCTTATTGTACTTCCAGTAGCAGATAACACCACAACTAACAGAGTCTGTTAACTCAAATAAGGCTCCTTAAAGGGTGAAGCTGACAACTGTGTGGCAAGAAGAACATTCACTGGCCGCTCTGCGGGAACAGCGTGCAGCTAAAATACTCTGAAGACAGGGGCTCCCAAATTGGGCCTGAAGCGGCGCTAAAGAGAATAGCCATTTAGCTAAATTTTGTTTGGCTACTTATCCTCTTATTAGGCTGGTGATCAACACAAACACAGTTCAGTATAATGCAGGACAGGAATGGGGGCAGGTCTTGGCAACACACAGGTTCCTGACTTTCCTGGGAAACAGAAATTTGTCAGCAGAAAAATGTGTCCAGAAGCGGAGACTCACGGCATGGTCCCGGAAAGGTGCTTCACGGTACCGCAGTCGTAGAAGACGAACTCCGTCGTGGCGACGGTGACATTGAGATAGCGCAGGGACAGGGTGACCGTGACAAAGTCTGCAAGCAAGACAGCTCTCATCACTATTGACAACTTTGTCAAAGACCAGACCAAAGCAGGGATACGCGGCTTTCAGGACTCCAGGCTTTTTCCGGAAGTTCTTTTTTTTTTTTTTTTCTTTCAACTTCACTGGTAAATTTTCTTTTTAGTCTTAAACAGACCAAAAAGCCTCTAATAACTGAAGAACACATAAATCAAAACTCTATTTTTGTTGTTTTTGGGACAAGACTCCCAATGAGCTACAGCCAGGGATCCATCCATCCATTACAGTATCAGGAACCAAAAAAAAATAATCACACCGTACAAGAGTTCCAGTGAACTTTCGTTAAATTTTCAAAACACATTAAGTACACAGAAATTCCTGAAAACGCATCCCATGAAATGAGTGAGTTTTGAACATCTCCTCAATTCTCTATATACACCCAATCTGGAAAACACTTAAGCAGCTGACACATGAAAAGTAGATTTTAAGCTGAGTTGTCACCTTGACTCTGGTGCCCGAGGGGCACAGTGCTGGTGTCCGGGGAGAAGCAGGTGACTCCACTCCCAGTGACACTGGCCGGACTCTCGTTTTCCTGGAAGTAGCAGGAATATGATTCCTGGCCTTCCAAGTCTGGCAGACCCGGTACTTTGAGGAAAATCTGTGGGGCACATCGTGAAATGAACCCTGGGTAAGATATGACTTAACGCTGATGGTCATTGATGACAGACTGGGTTTACGGTGAAGTTCGGTTCTAAGAAAAGCTACCTCCAGGCTGAGGGTTGCTGCAGTTCCACCATGACCAAGTATGTAGGATTAATGGTTAATATCACCACCACCCAATGAAAAGAGACCATTCCAGTAAATATCTATGCCTCACTGAGACTAAACAATGCAAAGAAAGATTCCACTTGGCCAGACTTGTCTGAAACCTGATTTAAAAGAGAAGAGTTAAATTGTGAAATTGCCTATCAGTCTAACTGTGATTTCCCCTCTCGTGTTTTCCAGTAGAAGGGCAGTGATGTAAAATGACCCAAGTGCAATGAGAAAGCCCAGGGCAGCATCAAAGCTACATACTTTCCTCTTCTCCTCTCGGCTGATGTTGGACGGGGTCAGACCCTGGATGGCAAGGCAGTGCTGCTCCATGTCGAAGCTCCACAGCCATTGGCCCGGCCTGTCCGCCCGAGGACACTGAGAGCGGCGGCCGCACCTATCACGTTGAAGGGGGGGCGGGTCACATAAATTGGGGCTGTGTGGCTTGATGGGTCAACGCGAGCAAAAGCCCAGTGAAGGTCCTACAAAAGGACCCTCAGAAACATAATGCATTTTCCAACCTCATTTATGAAGAAATTTCTATCGTAGATGGTCATTAAAGGATCATGTGTTACCATAGGGCACTGGGGAACAAAGGTCTAAGTACCAAAAAAAAAAAAGCAGAGTAACCAGTTGGAAAATGATATGTGAAGGTTAGTACTTAAAGTGCTGATGTTACTCAAATAATAGCAACGGATAAAGGGATATTTAGTTATAGTCATAGTATAAACGGTAAACTAAATTGTCTTCTATGAGGAGATATTCCACTCATTTCAATATAATGAAAAGAACGACCCCTCCCACAACAATTGCTCTTACTGATGGGGATGTGGAAGTGTCTGCAGCGTTCACCGTTAATTGCTTTATTTGTTCTAAGGAGACTGTTAATGACTTCCGCTGCAACCAGCAATTATGCACCTCTGGAGATGGGCGGCACCATCCCACCCAGCGTGTTTGCAGTGTGTGTGTCGTTCTCTTTAATTTTAAACACCAGACCTAATTTTAATTTTGCCCTTTTGACAATGCAGGTGCTCTGTGGCAGTTTGTGAGGAAGCAGAGCAGCACCTAACATACACCCAGACTGCCACAGGCATACATAGACAGAATGGCCATAAAGAAAACCATATGGCCAACTAGGGTGGGCCTCTGTGGCCAAGAACCAAAGAAACACCCTATCAGCATGTAGCTGTGGAGGCAGTCCTCACCTCCCTTCCAGCACGCACCAGCCACAGTAAGGGTCGTGGGCAGAGAGGCAGGAGTTGCAGTCCAGGTGTCTGTAACACTCTGCTACGGGCCTCTTCTCCAGCTAGGGTTGGAAGGGTCATTATAAATCCAGGATACAAACGGCGGCTCCCCAGCGTTCCTGGCTGAGACCGAGGGCCACTCACCCTCGAGCTGGTCATGACAAACAAGTGCTCCTCTGCCTGGTCCAGGAACAGGTCACTGCTGATAGCTGCATTGGGCTGGATGGAAACATCAGCATACTCCTCCACCTCTCCATTGGGGCCAAGGTAAACCTAAAGGAGGCCAACAAGCAGCCGTCAGAGTTTCTGCTGAGAATTATTCTCCTGCATTCATGACCTGTAAGGCCAGAGTCTGGTAAGCAAGTCCCATATGTGTGGATATTTTTGCCACTGATCAAGTCCTGGACATTATACTCATTGCCTTGCAAATCTAGTTCCTCAAAATATAGCTCAATGGTTGCCAGAATGAGGTATGCATGACTTCAGTGTGAAACTTCCAGTCGTGAAAACGCTTTGTCAGGCTTGAAATGTGAACTATTTAAAAATGGATTACAGTCTCAAGTAACACCATTTAATGTCATTATCCTGAAGTCCAGCCATCTTCCAAAGTGCTCTAAAACGAAGTGCAATGACATGAATCCGTAAACAGCAGGGTTCCAAAAGGGGCGCTGGCAGCTATAGAAACTGTTTACAACTGAAACCCAACCGAGGATCATTTATTATCTTCCTTGGAGAAAGCGAGAGGCCTAGAGCTGCCCCCCCCCCCCCCCCCCTGCTCATGACACCTAAACTTCACAAGACAAACATTTAGTTTGGAAGGTACTACTTACACACCGTGAAACCAACGAGGTGGACCAACAAAAGGCCAATGTAGCATGGTTAAGATATGCGGATAAGGCAGAGATATGGAGATAAGGCAGAGATATGGAGGAGATAAGGCAGCGGCTGTGGAAAATGTAACACTAATGTAACATGAGCATGAAAACTTGAAATACAATTATTATTCATATAAACCATGAAGTAGGCCGGCTAGGAAGCAATAAAGCAATACTATGACATCCATTCAGAAGCATGTATTCCATTCCAGAACTGCTTATCTAAGGCCAGTCTGGAGTACATCCCACAGAACAGAGGATATGAGACAACATATGAGACAGCCCATCCCAACACACATAGAACACACTCAGGGAATTTTAGAGACAAACCACGTACGTTCACGCTCTTCCCTATTCCTGATCCAGTTTCCGCTCTCTGCCCGCACTGCATATACATGCACGCCCGCACTGCATATACATGCACGCCCGCACTGCATATACATGCACGCCCGCACTGCATATACATGCACGCCCACACAGGAAGAAGGAGAAGCCACAGTCCCGAAGGCGTCGGGCCACAGCACTAAAACGCCCATACTGTTTATATCATATTTTCAGTCAGAGTCTATAAAAAGAACAGCCCTTAAACGTGTTTAAAGGATCGTGTTGCCGACAATCCGGAATCAGGGCTGCAAGTTAAATCAGGCCACAGTCCTGGAACACAATAGCTGTCATTCCACGGGGTTGCAAAAGGGGGCAGTGTGCAGATGGGGCGGAGCCCCCAACAGCGGCACCCGGGTCACGGTGTTCGCTTACGCAGCCACCGCATCAGTTCTACTGCGTGTCTGGAACGAGTACCTCCTCTTCGTCATCAGCTCATTTTTGGCTTGGGTTAGCGAACTAGCGACGCAGTCATCCGGATGACAAACGGACCCTTGTTTGTAAACACTCCCCCGAGAAAGACTGGGGTTTAAGCAATTGTGATTACAATGAGGCGAACGTAACAGTCTTTTAACCACAGCGCTCCACCCCATCGCCATTGTACGGGGGGGCATATTAGGACAGTCAATAGGCACATTGATTGTGAGCAGCATTTCAACTCTCATCGCTGACATCACTTCCTGCTCAGCCACAGTTCCTCACACGGGCAAGGTCACATCTCTCCTCTCTCCGAGGGGATCTTTCTGGCCATCTCGCCGTCAACGTGAGACGCGCGAAAACAGGCAACGCGTTTTCAGCGTAGTCGGCTCTTCACAAAACAGCCACTTTGCAATACAGGAATGAGATAAACGGGGAAAAAGAACAAGGAGGCTAAACTAGTAAAAGGTAAGAAAAACAGACATAAAAAAAAGACAAAAAAAAAAGATGACAAGAAAAACAGTGACGGCAGTCTCTGCGCCAGAGGTAGCTTTAAGGGCTAATGCAGTAATCGCAGCGGATTGCAGAGGAATGCTGCTGCAGCTGAAACAAAGGGAGTGATCAGTAAATATGCATCGGCAGGCCTATGAAGCAAGNATCAAAAACATATTTTCTTCGCATTTAATCCTTCAGAGTTAAACCTCTGTCTCCATAATTAAATGTCAGATTTAAGAACCACAAACTACAGTGGTGCAGTTAGAACAGCGGGTCACCATTTTCAGCTCCTTTTATGGTGACAGGGCTCATCCAAAACCAGAGAGGCTGCATGCATGTGCATGGCCTGTGAAAGGACAAATCTCTGCCCCGCGGGACGAAGCCAGTCGTCACTCGCATGTCCTTAAGGCAGAGTCACAGTGGAGTAAAATCCGTGACCAGGGAGAGTCCGGTGACGCATCTGCGGCTCCCTGATCCTTCAGGGATGCTTCTGCTCTGCTAGGCCTCTGTTTCATAAGCGCAGATAATCCTGGCAATCCTATTAAATGTGCTCATACTCTGGAAAGAGGGTGGGCTCCCCACGACGCCAGCAGGGGCCGGACCCCATCATGAGCGCGGACACCCCCCCCCCCCCCCAAGTGCTGCTCCTGCTCCCCCGCATTCCATACGAGAGACAATGATACCAAGGCCAAGACCACCCCCCCCCCATCTTCAGCAAAGACCAAGTTACTGACCAGACCGTAATGCCTTTAAACCAAAACACTGTGTACCAGCTGTGAGAAGGCTTTCCTTAAGGGGTGAAAATCAGAGAAAGATTAACAGTATTATAGCTGGGGGGGGGGGGGGGGGGGGGGAGAATGAAAAAAAAAAAGGGGAAAATAAAAAAAAAAAATTAAAAAAAAAAAAAAAAACTAAAACTGGAACAAAAGTTGCTGAGGGTTCTGCTGTAAATGAGCTGCACGCTGAGCCCCGAGCTGCCAGATGTTAGCGCAGATGGGGTATTAGGTACTGATTGGGTAATGGAGGTGCTGCAAAGCATACATAACAGGAGGTGGGCCAAATGGGCTTTGGATGCATGAATGACTTACCTGTGCATTGATCATGGGTCGTTTGGAGGACCTGACCAGCTCTCCCCATCACTCATTACTATACCAGTTTAGCCAAAATACCAGTTTTAATTTTGCACAGTATGGATTTTTTCATATACCGCGGCATTGCTGAAACACCAGCTGTAATGCTTCAATGGGCAGCAATTATACAATATTGTTTGGTGCTATAGAACTGCTATAGATCGCTGTGCTGCGCGTACTGAGAGGGGACTCCTGTTAACTGTGTGTACCCCCTTCTTATTAACAATTATAACTTTATAGCACAATAATTATCCATATAAAACTGTTTATCATTATAGTATTTGTAGCTACTGCTTCTATCTGTCTGAAAATTTGGATTATGTGTAATATAATTAGGGCTGCAATTAAATGTTCCTAATATTATCGATGTATCATGGTAATTATTAAATTCATGCCAGTTACATTGTTGGCAATCTAAGTATGGTAATAATCAATAACATGTACCTATTTAGCTAAATATTCACTTTTAATCTAATAAAACGTCAGTAAAACAATTCTTAGAGTTATTGACGTACATGGTTATAATCAATAAAACATGAATATACATAATGTAATGAAACGTCAGTTATACCATCACGCTAATTGTCAATTTTACAATATTTCATAAAACACCCCATTTTAAAAATGTATTTGTATTAATGTAAACACTTGCTACTGCAGTAAGGGTGAACTTGGGGAGGGGGGGGGGAATAGTATGCTATACTGTGAAACCATCAGAATCTTAAAAAAAAAAAATACCATGATACAAATTTTTGGTTAGAGCGGCCAGGACCCTCCCTTTGCCTGTCTGGCCTTGGAGGGCAGCATGTGTGCTGGTTGGCAGCAGGTCGCTGTATGGATCTGGTGAACTCACCTGCTCATTGTAAATGATGACTCCTTTCTCACACACTGTCTTGTGTGTGCACAAGTGCTGGTGGACGCACCAGTTACAGCCCCAGCGGCTGGTCACGCACCCACGGCATCTGAGATTGAGTGAGGGGCAAGGCAAGCTAATTGACCATTCAGGATTCAGATATCAACACGTTACTTAAAATCACCCATTTTAGTTATACCTAGTACACTACAACTCATGTGTCATTAGCCACAGATATTCAACGGTTCAGTATAACACAAGCAACAATATGGTAGACTGAGTGTTCAGCATAATAAAAACCAGGCAAAGTTCTTGAAGCAAAAGTGAGTGAACATGACGGCCCTCTAAGAGGAACAGACATTCAACAGAGCTGACAACTGGTGTCGAAAGAAGGGAATCGTTTCGGAGTTTGCTGCTGTTATTTTTGGGAGACAAAGCAAAACATAAATGCACTGAGAACGTGACACAGTACAGGAATGACATCTCTATTCAGCTATGATTTTTCTAAGAACGAAAAACTACAACACAAACTCTGAATAAACAAACCTATTTTACCAGTTTAGGTTTTGTTCGTTATGCGCAGATGCAGGAACAGTTCAGTGTAACTGTCAAGCAATGTTAGATAGATGGGCATTTTGGTCACACAGAAAATATTATGCATTTGTTTTGGGATTGATGTGTGACATGTAACATCATAATGAGACTGGGCTTCTTATTGTACTTCCAGTAGCAGATAACACCACAACTAACAGAGTCTGTTAACTCAAATAAGGCTCCTTAAAGGGTGAAGCTGACAACTGTGTGGCAAGAAGAACATTCACTGGCCGCTCTGCGGGAACAGCGTGCAGCTAAAATACTCTGAAGACAGGGGCTCCCAAATTGGGCCTGAAGCGGCGCTAAAGAGAATAGCCATTTAGCAAAATTTTGTTTGGCTACTTATCCTCTTATTAGGCTGGTGATCAACACAAACACAGTTCAGTATAATGCAGGACAGGAATGGGGGCAGGTCTTGGCAACACACAGGTTCCTGACTTTCCTGGGAAACAGAAATTTGTCAGCAGAAAAATGTGTCCAGAAGCGGAGACTCACGGCATGGTCCCGGAAAGGTGCTTCACGGTACCGCAGTCGTAGAAGACGAACTCCGTCGTGGCGACGGTGACATTGAGATAGCGCAGGGACAGGGTGACCGTGACAAAGTCTGCAAGCAAGACAGCTCTCATCACTATTGACAACTTTGTCAAAGACCAGACCAAAGCAGGGATACGCGGCTTTCAGGACTCCAGGCTTTTTCCGGAAGTTCTTTTTTTTTTTTTTTTCTTTCAACTTCACTGGTAAATTTTCTTTTTAGTCTTAAACAGACCAAAAAGCCTCTAATAACTGAAGAACACATAAATCAAAACTCAGTCTATTTTTGTTGTTTTTGGGACAAGACTCCCAATGAGCTACAGCCAGGGATCCATCCATCCATTACAGTATCAGGAACCAAAAAAAAATAATCACACCGTACAAGAGTTCCAGTGAACTTTCGTTAAATTTTCAAAACACATTAAGTACACAGAAATTCCTGAAAACGCATCCCATGAAATGAGTGAGTTTTGAACATCTCCTCAATTCTCTATATACACCCAATCTGGAAAACACTTAAGCAGCTGACACATGAAAAGTAGATTTTAAGCTGAGTTGTCACCTTGTCTCTGGTGCCCGAGGGGCACAGTGCTGGTGTCCGGGGAGAAGCAGGTGACTCCACTCCCAGTGACACTGGCCGGACTCTCGTTTTCCTGGAAGTAGCAGGAATATGATTCCTGGCCTTCCAAGTCTGGCAGACCCGGTACTTTGAGGAAAATCTGTGGGGCACATCGTGAAATGAACCCTGGGTAAGATATGACTTAACGCTGATGGTCATTGATGACAGACTGGGTTTACGGTGAAGTTCGGTTCTAAGAAAAGCTACCTCCAGGCTGAGGGTTGCTGCAGTTCCACCATGACCAAGTATGTAGGATTAATGGTTAATATCACCACCACCCAATGAAAAGAGACCATTCCAGTAAATATCTATGCCTCACTGAGACTAAACAATGCAAAGAAAGATTCCACTTGGCCAGACTTGTCTGAAACCTGATTTAAAAGAGAAGAGTTAAATTGTGAAATTGCCTATCAGTCTAACTGTGATTTCCCCTCTCGTGTTTTCCAGTAGAAGGGCAGTGATGTAAAATGACCCAAGTGCAATGAGAAAGCCCAGGGCAGCATCAAAGCTACATACTTTCCTCTTCTCCTCTCGGCTGATGTTGGACGGGGTCAGACCCTGGATGGCAAGGCAGTGCTGCTCCATGTCGAAGCTCCACAGCCATTGGCCCGGCCTGTCCGCCCGAGGACACTGAGAGCGGCGGCCGCACCTATCACGTTGAAGGGGGGGCGGGTCACATAAATTGGGGCTGTGTGGCTTGATGGGTCAACGCGAGCAAAAGCCCAGTGAAGGTCCTACAAAAGGACCCTCAGAAACATAATGCATTTTCCAACCTCATTTATGAAGAAATTTCTATCGTAGATGGTCATTAAAGGATCATGTGTTACCATAGGGCACTGGGGAACAAAGGTCTAAGTACCAAAAAAAAAAAAGCAGAGTAACCAGTTGGAAAATGATATGTGAAGGTTAGTACTTAAAGTGCTGATGTTACTCAAATAATAGCAACGGATAAAGGGATATTTAGTTATAGTCATAGTATAAACGGTAAACTAAATTGTCTTCTATGAGGAGATATTCCACTCATTTCAATATAATGAAAAGAACGACCCCTCCCACAACAATTGCTCTTACTGATGGGGATGTGGAAGTGTCTGCAGCGTTCACCGTTAATTGCTTTATTTGTTCTAAGGAGACTGTTAATGACTTCCGCTGCAACCAGCAATTATGCACCTCTGGAGATGGGCGGCACCATCCCACCCAGCGTGTTTGCAGTGTGTGTGTCGTTCTCTTTAATTTTAAACACCAGACCTAATTTTAATTTTGCCCTTTTGACAATGCAGGTGCTCTGTGGCAGTTTGTGAGGAAGCAGAGCAGCACCTAACATACACCCAGACTGCCACAGGCATACATAGACAGAATGGCCATAAAGAAAACCATATGGCCAACTAGGGTGGGCCTCTGTGGCCAAGAACCAAAGAAACACCCTATCAGCATGTAGCTGTGGAGGCAGTCCTCACCTCCCTTCCAGCACGCACCAGCCACAGTAAGGGTCGTGGGCAGAGAGGCAGGAGTTGCAGTCCAGGTGTCTGTAACACTCTGCTACGGGCCTCTTCTCCAGCTAGGGTTGGAAGGGTCATTATAAATCCAGGATACAAACGGCGGCTCCCCAGCGTTCCTGGCTGAGACCGAGGGCCACTCACCCTCGAGCTGGTCATGACAAACAAGTGCTCCTCTGCCTGGTCCAGGAACAGGTCACTGCTGATAGCTGCATTGGGCTGGATGGAAACATCAGCATACTCCTCCACCTCTCCATTGGGGCCAAGGTAAACCTAAAGGAGGCCAACAAGCAGCCGTCAGAGTTTCTGCTGAGAATTATTCTCCTGCATTCATGACCTGTAAGGCCAGAGTCTGGTAAGCAAGTCCCATATGTGTGGATATTTTTGCCACTGATCAAGTCCTGGACATTATACTCATTGCCTTGCAAATCTAGTTCCTCAAAATATAGCTCAATGGTTGCCAGAATGAGGTATGCATGACTTCAGTGTGAAACTTCCAGTCGTGAAAACGCTTTGTCAGGCTTGAAATGTGAACTATTTAAAAATGGATTACAGTCTCAAGTAACACCATTTAATGTCATTATCCTGAAGTCCAGCCATCTTCCAAAGTGCTCTAAAACGAAGTGCAATGACATGAATCCGTAAACAGCAGGGTTCCAAAAGGGGCGCTGGCAGCTATAGAAACTGTTTACAACTGAAACCCAACCGAGGATCATTTATTATCTTCCTTGGAGAAAGCGAGAGGCCTAGAGCTGCCCCCCCCCCCCCCCCCCTGCTCATGACACCTAAACTTCACAAGACAAACATTTAGTTTGGAAGGTACTACTTACACACCGTGAAACCAACGAGGTGGACCAACAAAAGGCCAATGTAGCATGGTTAAGATATGCGGATAAGGCAGAGATATGGAGATAAGGCAGAGATATGGAGGAGATAAGGCAGCGGCTGTGGAAAATGTAACACTAATGTAACATGAGCATGAAAACTTGAAATACAATTATTATTCATATAAACCATGAAGTAGGCCGGCTAGGAAGCAATAAAGCAATACTATGACATCCATTCAGAAGCATGTATTCCATTCCAGAACTGCTTATCTAAGGCCAGTCTGGAGTACATCCCACAGAACAGAGGATATGAGACAACATATGAGACAGCCCATCCCAACACACATAGAACACACTCAGGGAATTTTAGAGACAAACCACGTACGTTCACGCTCTTCCCTATTCCTGATCCAGTTTCCGCTCTCTGCCCGCACTGCATATACATGCACGCCCGCACTGCATATACATGCACGCCCGCACTGCATATACATGCACGCCCGCACTGCATATACATGCACGCCCACACAGGAAGAAGGAGAAGCCACAGTCCCGAAGGCGTCGGGCCACAGCACTAAAACGCCCATACTGTTTATATCATATTTTCAGTCAGAGTCTATAAAAAGAACAGCCCTTAAACGTGTTTAAAGGATCGTGTTGCCGACAATCCGGAATCAGGGCTGCAAGTTAAATCAGGCCACAGTCCTGGAACACAATAGCTGTCATTCCACGGGGTTGCAAAAGGGGGCAGTGTGCAGATGGGGCGGAGCCCCCAACAGCGGCACCCGGGTCACGGTGTTCGCTTACGCAGCCACCGCATCAGTTCTACTGCGTGTCTGGAACGAGTACCTCCTCTTCGTCATCAGCTCATTTTTGGCTTGGGTTAGCGAACTAGCGACGCAGTCATCCGGATGACAAACGGACCCTTGTTTGTAAACACTCCCCCGAGAAAGACTGGGGTTTAAGCAATTGTGATTACAATGAGGCGAACGTAACAGTCTTTTAACCACAGCGCTCCACCCCATCGCCATTGTACGGGGGGGCATATTAGGACAGTCAATAGGCACATTGATTGTGAGCAGCATTTCAACTCTCATCGCTGACATCACTTCCTGCTCAGCCACAGTTCCTCACACGGGCAAGGTCACATCTCTCCTCTCTCCGAGGGGATCTTTCTGGCCATCTCGCCGTCAACGTGAGACGCGCGAAAACAGGCAACGCGTTTTCAGCGTAGTCGGCTCTTCACAAAACAGCCACTTTGCAATACAGGAATGAGATAAACGGGGAAAAAGAACAAGGAGGCTAAACTAGTAAAAGGTAAGAAAAACAGACATAAAAAAAAGACAAAAAAAAAAGATGACAAGAAAAACAGTGACGGCAGTCTCTGCGCCAGAGGTAGCTTTAAGGGCTAATGCAGTAATCGCAGCGGATTGCAGAGGAATGCTGCTGCAGCTGAAACAAAGGGAGTGATCAGTAAATATGCATCGGCAGGCCTATGAAGCAAGTTTCCATTTGTGACCTCTGCTTCTTGGCGTTGGAATAAAGGGAGAAACGCCATATGAGAAATTTAGTTAAACCCCCCCCCCCCNGGGGGGGGGGGGGGGGCAGTAACAGTGTCAACCAATAGCACTGGAAAATTGGGCCGTTGAGGGTACTTCAGCACCCCCCGTGGTTCTTGGTGGTAATGCAGTATCAACTGTAGGACAATGTGACCATGCCTATGGTTTGAAACCAAAAAGGCAGCCTGTGCTTTCATGCTTGTTGTTGTGTTGTTAGCAGTTGACAGCTAAAGATTATACAAAAAGAACTTTACTGGTGATTCCAACTTTCAGCACTGCAAGCTCAAAATGTCTTCCCATTGCTGTGGTGTCAACTTTACACAAAGCGTACAAAATACCCACGTAAGATGCATTACTTAATTTGACATCACATATTAGCTTTGCTGCCTGTAGAATGAGCAGCTGTGTCGGGAGAGTGCCGGTCGGAGGGGGTGTCGGCTCACCGCGGGCAGAGTGGCGCAGTTGGATTTGACTTCGTACTCGATGTAAGCTGCCCCCTCCCCCCCGTCTCGGGTGTAGCACAGGTCACGGGTGGAATTGATCTTCCGGTCCAGCTTCTCCAGGTCGAAGACGCACAGCGCCGAATCCTCGCTCGGCAGGTTGGAGGACGCCGCTCGCGTGGCGAACACGCCCAGCAGCACTTCCTTGTCTCCGGCTCCGCCTCCCCGCGTCCCAGGGAGCCCCACTCGTGCCGCCTGGAGCAGGTTGTACCTCTTGCCTACGGATGAGTTGCACACCAGGGGTAGCTCCACGTAGGAGTAGTAGGCGGCGTCGTCCAGGCAGACACGCGACACATACGTCTTGTATTCCCGCGATGAGGACTTGAGGTCACGCCGGTAGAACAAGAAGTAGACGTGGGAATGGCGGGAGAAGGCCGTGACGAAGTGGTGGTCGTACTCGGGGAGCCGGCCGGCCACCGCCAGCTTGGCCGTCTCCTCGTAGGAGAACACCGGTGCGGAGGCCAGGTTGCGGGTGGAGATGGGTGGGTGGCTGCCGGTGTAGCCCCGGCCCACGAACAGCACCGGCTGGCTGCTCCGCAGCTGCACCACCAGGCCCACGGTGGTGACGTTGGGGTCATTGGCCGCCACGTACTGGGTGTCCACAGGCCTCTCGGTGGAGAACAACACTTCTCTGATGTACTCGAGGTTCCTCTTCTGGCAGATGCCCTGGTAGACGCTGCCACAGCTGATCAGCTCTTGGCTGTAAGGGTCCACCAGCAGGAGCTTGTTGTGGTTGTTGCTGCTCCGGGCCTGGGGGCAGCTACTCTCCAGGATGGGCGGGAGGCACTCCCTGCTGTCATTCACGGGCCCCGTCTCCGCGTCCGCTTCCAGCACCAGCGCCTTGCTCAGCTGAAAGAGGCGGTCCTTGCCGCCCACATACACCCGGCCCACCGCCGGGTCGGGGTGCAAGGCCAGGTGTTCGAAAACGGCGCCGCCATGGGAGAAGGAGGGGTAGTCCTCGACAGCCTGCACGTTTCCCTCACCCCGGAGAAGAGACAGCAGCACTGAAGCAGCGAGGGTAGAGAACAGGACCATCCCAGGTGGCATAGCAAACGGTCTAAAGCAGAGAGGGAGACACACACACACACACACACACACACAAAAGGTAACCATCAAGCACAAGTTCTGTCTTAATATGGCTCCCAGAGCTGTGATCAAGAACAGGTTTGCCCACAACCCCCAGGGCTTCAGAGAGCCGTCTGCCCAGCTGCCAGGTGTGTGGCTCAATGGAGCGATCGGCACTGTTTTCCGTTAAAGTCGGAAGACAAAACCAGAGGCATGTTAGGGCAGCACTTGTATATTCTCACCATCTGTATCCACTGTGGAGTTAAAGAGGCATTTCACCTGGCCGTCCAGGTGAGCGGTGCAATCAAAACATCCAAGGAGGGACAACCTGCAAGAGGGAGAATATGTTTAGGAAGCATTTTAATTAGTACCAAACATGTCCAGCAGATTGTCTATTCTGAATGCCATTAGAATTTTGCACTTGTGAACTGTAAACTAGCATTGCAGTTTACAGTGAAGCTGAAGTTGTTCCTTTAGGAAGCTCCTTTGTTCAGTTCCTCTCCTGCTCACAGCAGGGAGCTTGCTGAGAAAGCTCTGGGAGAATCTCTTTGGAAGGCTGCTGCTTGTCGGAGTAGCAGTGAGAATATGGCATAGCAGTACCCATTTACTCATGATGCTGGGGGAGGATCTCAAACCAATAATTACTGTCCTTACTTTGCCAATGCTGCTCTAACACCTGATGCCACTCTTGCCCCCTGCACAGATGGGAGCAATTTATGCAGCTGGTTTGGCATTTGGGTACATTTTAAGCACATGCAGACATCTCCCCAATTCAGAAATTTTGAGCAGTCTACAAAATTGCCCGTATTTTTGAAAAAATGTTTTTAAAAGATCTGGAGATAGAAAAGGGGAAATTTGGCAGGGGAGAAATTCCATATTCTCATTAAATAAAGAAAAAACAAACATTCTCTTCCTCCACACAACCGGCGTGTTGAAGAACACTGAAAGGGAACCTCCTCTTTCCTCTCCCCATCTAGTTTGCGGCTTTCTTTGACAGCAGCAGCAGCGTGAAAGATCTGCCCAGATGCGGCAGAGTAATGACAGGAATGGGAAACATTCCATGTGCCTGAAGATCCCAAAGATCCATACTCAGTTTGGGCTTCTTCTGGCATTTTCTCAGACTGATTCTTTTTTGGGAGGAGGAGGAGGTGGTGGGGGGGGGTGTCAACGATAACTAGCAAAAAAAAAATTTTTTAAATTGAGAATTTATGAGGAACAGTAGCTTTGGCTCCCAAAGGAACCCACAACAGCTTCCTGTCAGAAGTCAGACTCCCTCAACTCCCACCAGTTTTAAATCGCTAATATTTAAAGCTTTTTATCTGGATTTTTAATGGACAGACTAGAAAACACACCCAATACCCCGCATTCGAGAACTACTGCTCTGCCAATTTCCTTTCCCGAAGCTGCAATCGAATTATTCCACAGGATGTCTGAATCGACTGCTTACTCCTTGATGCTGCTCCACCCCCTGATAGGTTTACAGTGATAACATAAGAGCTCATACAGGACGGATGTGCTAATAGGTTTAGGCGTCCCACCCATTTTCTCACATATCGTGCGCATGAGTGCTTCTATTCTCCCGGTGCCTGTGGCAGTAGGGGAGAGAGAGATTATCATTCCTGAAGAACAGCTGCAGTCTATGGCTATCCTCTCTCAGGTGCCTGCCTGCCTGCCACCCCCCCAAGATCACAACACACCCAATGACAAAGATGCAGCCACCAGATCTGCAGGGTGGAGCGATGTAACAGCAGCCAGAGAGACGGAAGGGCTCACCTTCAGATTAGCTGAATTACTCATCGTTACTTTAATCGTGACTGAAGTCTTTTACCTAGACAAACACACACAGGGAGGTGTGAGGAGAGCAGGATCATATCAGACCACGAAAGGATGCAAGCACTCAGGGCTGAGCCAAAGCCTGAAACCCGCGAGCTAGCGTGGGCTCCTCAGCTCCAACTCCCAGAAGGAATGTGGCTAATCAGCCACCACAGAGGACAAAAAAGGAGTGAGAGAGGGCAGGTGGACAAGAGAGAAAAATGACAGACCGATCATTACAGAGCGTGGGCATTCTCCTTTCGGAACTCGTTCAATTAACTGCAAAAGGTGAAGGCCAGCTCTCCAATTACTGCATGAACTGCATGGAACTGAGGTCAGTGCCCCATCTGCATTTTACACGGGGGGAGGGGGAGTGGGGGGGACCTTTCTCAAGGACAATGGCTTCTGGCAGAACAGCAACCAATCATTTTCAACGAGAAACAGCATTTTAAGAGTTTCCTCTGCTGAAGCGGCCGTTACTGCCGAACGTCGGCAAAGCCAAGCGTCCTGATTGTGTGTTGGGGAGAATAATCACTCACATTTGTAAAAATATGGAGGGGGGGATCCCACTAATCTATTCACAGATTTAACGGTCAGGTAGTATTAAATAACCCCAAGTACATACTCTGTTTCATTTTCTACAAGGGAAAATTAGCGGTCAGTTTGCGGAGAACACAGACATTTCAGATATGATTAGCGAGCTCCTTGTACACCGGACAAGGCCTCATTCCACAGCCAGCTGAGGCAGTTTGATTTATAATGCAGCCCGAACAAAGCCCGTAACTATGAAAATACACACATTTCTCCCCTATGAAAGACCAGATAACCCTAACCTTGGGATTATCGTGGATTCTCCCTTAGAGAATTCTGTTGACTTTTTTATTTTTATTTTTTTTTTTATTTTAATGAGAGTTTCAGTAGTTCTGTCATGTTACATGCAGCTGGATCTGGTCCCTTTTTCTGTCAGGCAATGGGAGAAAGTTCAGATGACAGACAGTGCTACACTATAAATAACCGCCACTGTGTGAAGACAGCCAAAGAGCTGTCAAGTTGCTCCATTTTAGAAAAAAGGCACTTACTATGGAATCTTTTGATTTTGTACTGTTGTCTTAGGAAGCCAAGAGCATGGTTTTGTCACATCAAGACCAGCACCAACTGGGAGAAGATTGGTTCCAAGGAAACCAGGATGCCAGCAATCTTAAGCTGCAGACAAGTATGGGAGATCTTCTGCCTGAAGCAGAGGACAGATCAGAGCCGGCTGGTGGCATCTGCTTAGCAAAATGATGCTGAATAGCCTAGAAATAGCATTTAATGACTGCTAATGGCAGCCACTGGTTCAGTGATCGGAATTAGCCAGAAACTCCACTTGAGAATCACAAGAGGTTTCAATGACAGCAGGTCTTTTCTTAACCTCTAACATGAAGTTTCCACTGAATACTCAGTCAGCCAAGCTATTTAAATACATGCAAGTGCCCTATAAAAGGAAAAATTCTTGATTCCTTCCGTTTTTCAACACATCTCCATCCTGCATCCAGCAGGGCTATGAGAGTCGGCCAACAACCATTCAAGTCATTCTACTGAGTGCTCGCTTTTACTGGAAGATGCCACTTTAATGTTTAACAAAACCAATCTGAAAGAAATCACCCAATTTCAGACTTGAGCCTTATTTTTACCTGGACTATTGCTGGCATCTTACCCATAACCTGCATCTTTTCCTACATTTATTTGGAAGATTTGACGTTTTCCCCCCAAGAACACGTGAGAAATCCGTTAGAGCAATAATTGGTTTTCCTAAATCTACTCATGGTAGGATATTGCAACTACACCCTATATAAAATCCTCAAATGATTAACCTACCTTGACAGGTCTGCTCAAGTCCACAAAAAAAACAATCTGCTCAATAGGATGGGTGTGTCATTAAAATCAGAAACCACACCTTGTCCTGAGAACAAACACCGCTATGGTTCAGATTGAGACAGCAAAGATCAGATGCTTACAGGTCGCCTTTATTTACCTTCTATTCAAATTCACATGTATTGGCATTGCCACTGTGTTGTATGTGACAAACAGAATGAACAGAGGCCAGGCATGGCAGTCAGGGTTATGGTGGCAGATGGGAGGTAGGGCCTTCTAACAAACACAAATAAGAGAGCAACTGTGATGAAAAATGCCGACCACCAAAACCAACCCCAAAGCTTTGTTTGAGATGTGGTTCCCATCACACCAAACAAAGGAAAGACTGTTCTATCCATCAAATACGGCAATTTTAGAGAGAAAGTGGTACTCAACTCCAAACAAGATGCCTATTGATGTGCTGAGCAAATATTGGGGATAATGTTTCATGATGTGGTCCTTTTGAATCTGACAGCAAAGTCCAGAAAATCGGGACGCCAACTGCCGCTCTGTAGTTCCGACACAGAACGTCTGGCCCTCCCCACTACACCTAAGATGGCTTTGCAAACATCCACAAAGTAGAGTTTTAAAGTACAGCACGATCTCCAGGCATACATCTGCTACTATGGAAAGCGGAAAGGGGCGGCCAGTAGACTGCAATCTTCCCAGGAAACTAGAACGTTCTATTTTGACCAGACCCATTCTTGAAAACAGCAAGCTTAGTGAATGATACTGGAGAAGAAAATCCAGCCAGAGAGACCCAGCTGCATCCGGGGCATTTTCTAGCCTGTGTGTGCACTGATGGCACCTCCTTTGTGGGACGGAGGTTCCTGGAGCGTGCATCACCATGTTGAGAAGATGTTTCAGAGCCAAAATATTCCAAACAGACTGACACTCAGTCTGATCATTAAAATCAGTACTAGACTATAGTCTGGAGGTCCAAGTTCTAATCAATAATCCCTGAAAAGGAGCTACTGTATTGTACTAGAATAAATTCAGATGAAAGGTGAAAGATGAAAAACATCCTGGTGGTTATTGTTCCAATTAGTACAACTACGGAAAACATGAACCCTTCTCCACTACTACCACCACTAGACTCATACAACTACACTGCAGCATGATGTGAATTTCCACAAGGCTCCCTCGCATGTTATTAAATCCAAGACCACAAACTGAATGAACAACGGCAGCAGTCTCCGCAAAGCAAAAGCGAAAGCCTGTAGGAGCTACCGCAACGCAACCCGATCATCTACGAAGGGATGCCATACACTAATACAATCCTCTGCCTGTCAGAAACAGAAGCATAGCAAATAGCAGGAGAGCACACAACAGAACAGAGCTGCGGTTTGAGTAACTGGTCGAGCCGGGGGACTGCTGCGGTCTGCTGGGGGTGGGTGGTGGGGGGGCTCATTAGCCAGGCCTCCTGAAGAAACTGCAGACATTTCCAGTATTTGGTGGGGATGCCCATGATTTTGCAATGCTCCACCCATAACATAACTGCAAAACAGGAAATCAAGACTCAACCTTTCAAAATGGGGCGTTTTTAGTGTGCAGAGATAGAAGAGTCAAAATTACTATACTAGATTTTTTTAAATAATTGAAAAATAACCACTAATAGCTAAACCTCCATCGATTCGTGAAACACATACTTATTTGTTTTGACATCATTATCTCTGATATCTGTCCAGATACCAGACATGCTAACTTTCATTAAACATGCAACACACACACGTCCATAGACAGACACACGCATACATAGACAGACACACGCATACACAGACAGACACACGCATACACGCACACGCATACATAGACACACGCATACACGCACACGCATAGACAGACACGCATACACGTACACGCATAGACAGACACGCATACACGTACACGCATAGACAGACACGCATACACGTACACGCATAGACAGACACACGCATACACGCACACGCATAGACAGACACACGCATACACGCACACGCATACACGCACACGCATACATAGACAGACACACACATACACGCACATGCATAGACAGACACACGCATACACGCACATGCATATATAGACAGACACAAGCATAAACTAATGGAGGGGATGTAGTTTGATGGTGGGAACCAGGTTTCCAATCTGTTTTTAGAACTAGTGGAGAGAAATTAAACACTTCTCACAATATTTGTCTGTGTGTATAAACAGACACTTTCTGACACTTAATAGGGCAGGTTCAGTTACATGTTTAACTGCATGTTTTCAAAACACCCATTAAAAGCTCCATACTGTTTATTCTGATTCATCAGTTCTCGTGTCGCTTAGAGGGGCTGGAAAAGGCAGCCCATTCATGTTGTTTTGACAGTCTCTGGTATGAAGGATCTGGGCCAGATTCTCAATTTTCCCAAATCTGATTGTTCAAGTTTCATGCCACAAATCTACTGCAGGGAATCATAAATCCAACACAAACTAACCTGGCTGCCTGTTCTGGAACCACAAAGTTCTGTAATTTAGTTCTGCCATCTGTGATATTCAGTTCTCGGTTATCCCGGAAGGTGTTGGCTAAGGGGTTAAAGGAATGTCACGTGGCTGACATCTATAGTTTGTAGTTCCAAGCCATGTATGTGCCTCTGGCTTACAGCAGAGTGTGACGGAATCTTACGATCTGCATAACTGACGTAGATTAGGTGGATATGGAAAATTAAATCGATGGTCTAGGGTAGCCAATACTGATCGGGTAAAAAAATACCTGGATCCGCCCTAATTCTTATCTTTAAGATATTTATGGACATCACTGATGTCTTATATTTCCAATAACCAATAAACTTGTCATCTGTAGTGAAACTGATGTTGGTGGATCTACTTCTTTTGATCTTTTGAATGGTGTGTAGCAACCGAATCATAGGATGCTGGCAGTGAGACATCAGCAAAGCAGCATCGACTTGGGAGATCATGTCCGGCTTTTAAGTAGTGGGTCAGCCAACAAAATTTCACATCCTCCATTACAAAAAATGGCTGATTGTCCAATGCAGTCATCTCCAGTATCTTAGCAGTTAGGCCTACATCTTTATCTTTGGTGCCACTAACTTTGAACACATATCAGCTAGCAATAAAAAAACTGACCAAGTTCGACACATTGGAAGAATCCCGATGTCGTGATTTTTAATGAACATTGACCAATACCGTTATATTAACTGCTATATTGCATCTCTACTATAAAAATATATAGTTTAAAGAGACTGAAAATGGAAAATATGAAATGAAGACAAACCCAAGAACACTTAAATGCCTAAAAACTACAGACATCTATTTAACATCTGATAGGGAATCAAAAAGAAACCTTTCAACTAATATTTTTGCAGCTGTAGGTCTGCACAAGAGCCATAAAGTCAGCCCTCACTGCAAGGGCTTAAAGCCTGTTGCTGGACAGCAGTTATAGTCAAACCATTTGCTGTTTTATTAACTGTACCTGCAAAGAAAGGCAGCCCTTAGGAATCAACTTAGTGTTTTAAGTGGTGAGGGGCTGATCAACAGCAGGCCTTGGTTCCGGGTAAAAGTTTTACGTGAGACATCAATAATCGCAGACTGGTGGTCAACAGAACAAGGCAAAGGGGATATGAAGTATCAGAAGGCATGACTGAGCTTTTTCCATCACCAAGGCAACAGCAAAACAGGAGAACACCTGGATCATCCCGTATGCCTCACCGACTGACTCACCAGATCCATCTCGGAGCAGTACCACTGCCCAAGGATACAGTTATCCTAAAAATCTACAAGATGGATGAGATGAGTAGCAGAAGCCACACTGGTCCACAGCATGTATTCATGGACAGGTATTGATGTTCATGCCATGTATTACCTCAGAGCTTTTTGTTCAGCTACACAAGATGCCTCCTCGACCCCTAACTAACTTCATTTGCCCTACATTCCAACTGACACTGGACTTCCATGATTCAGCATTTATATTATACAAATTAAATGGAAAGTATAAAGCAATAAACCTTGGCGCAGAATCAAAGGATTTCATGTTCGGTTTTCATTAACTTTTTAAAAAATAAATAAAGTTAAATGCTAAGCACCGCCTTAGGGAACAAGAAGCCTGTCAGCTCCATTTCCTTAAATGTAGAGCTTAATTCAACAAAAGGACCACAAAAGTCAGCTTGTTCATACCTGCTATAAACCTTACCTAGTGATACGTAATCAGCTACCATGTGGGCGCCTAGATCAGCACCCCCATAAATCTCCAGCCCTTATGCGTGGGCCGTTTAAGATGGAAGCAGGGTTATAATTACACACACACACACCACGTCTGGTCATCGCCTGCTACTCTCTTGTGAGTCCCCTCCACACACAAGATGCTCTCTGTCCTCTCACAGTTCTAAAGGAAACACAGAGGGGGGGAAAAAAATCGAAGCCTTAGTAAGGGGCTCTGGAGTCTTCTGCAGGACATATACACAAAGATGGTCTTTGTTAGCATAGGTTAGTTATACGATAGCCTTTACCAGAAAAAAAGACCAGCAGGTATAGATATATTCATGGGGACTCCAGCCTGAATCACCTCATCTGTCTCTTCGTTTATATATAAACTATAGCTTCAGTATAGTGGTAACCTTCAATCTACAGACACTGCAAACAAGATTAATAAAGTCTATTGTACACTTAAGGGACAGATGCAATGTCAATCCCCAGTGCCAATTTCCCCACTGCCAGACCAGCAATGTTTCCTAGTGTAAGGCAGAATCTAGGTCAGTTTGACAAAGACACATTAGGGCTGATTATAACTGTTATGCCACAACAAGAGAGAGACCTGTCAATGCCCCCCCCCCCCATCTTATAATACGACAGAGTGCCTTTAGACTAATCTGATGTATTCCTCACTTTTTACATGGCCCAGCTTTTTTAGGGGGGCGGGGGGGCGGAGAGTGGCACAACCTGAAATGATGCATCCATTAGTCATCATTTGCCATCAGATCACTATGGAAGAATTTGATATGGGGGGGGGGGGGGGGGACACACCACCCATAGTCACATCACATGCGGGATGGAGCATGCAGCGCACAAATTCCTACATGAATAAGCTGGGGGAGAATTCTCCACAAACCTCCTTAGTGTAGCAAGCAGAAAATTCCTGGATTAACAAACACAACACACACTGATCCTGAAACCCCCCCCCATCTGAGAAGCACCCTGCTTCTCTGTACTTGGAGAATGTATCTCCATCAGCACTTGTGGTAGAACAAACTACACGACAGCAACGTCCTGACGGTTTAACCCTCTCTGCTCCGGACGAAAGACAGGGGAAAGTTGTTTTTTTTTTTTGTGCAAGCCTGTTCCATGGAGACCCAGTGCCTCAGAACACTTCCCCCTCTGTTAGAGGGAAGAAAATAAAAATCGGGGACACATTGAGGGGGGGGGATTATCCACATGAGCACACAGAACGTCCTGTTCCCCCCAAGCCCTCTTTCTGGTTGAAGGTACAGTCATTTCACCAGATAACAGGGAAGCCCCCTATTGCCCCCCATACCCCCCATGAGAGCACCTGCCGACATCATCCACTGCAAAAAATCCTCAGTCTCACCCTTCCATCGAAAGCCTGGTACTATCCATGGCATACAGTATATACCATCTGCTAATTTATTACTTATCTTCAGATATGTATTTTTGTATTATTACAATATTCGTTTTTTTCAGGATGTTCCATTTGTGTAATGTATTTTTTAAAATTAGTTTGCACCATGTTTACTTGTTTGCAGTATGTGTACAGTCTTTGTACTTTGCCCGTTTTGCCTGTCCGTCCATTTTGCAGTAATGTACGTCCGTCTGTGCACTACATTCTCCTTGCTATATGCACAAGAACATCCCCCTGGGATCAATGAAGTCCATCTTAATCTTTATTTTAATTAATGTACTTTTTAGAAAGTAGTCTGATTCCCCCTGAGAATGCTTATGTAAACCCCACCAAGCCAGAAGGAATCTGTTAATCCAGATCCCAAACACTTACAGAAATGCACAAATGCATCCACGTGTGGAAACAGCCCCCCCGCCCCCCCGTCACCTCCTTATTTACTGGGACAAAAGTGCGAAAGGTCTCAGTACTGTCAAGTCAAGCAAAGTCATGGCAGGGTGCCAGCAGAGAGGGCAGGACCCAGAGCAGAAACGCAGCGTCTGGGGGTAGAGCTCAGAGCTCAAGCCTCTGCAAACACCCCATTCCCCAAAGATCAAGATGATGGAGAGGACACGTAGCAACAGCGTCCAAGCCGTCACACCCCGGAATACCGCGGTCGAGGGGGAGGGGAATCATTTTATCCCATCTATTAACGTCTCTGCAAGGTCACGCCAACCTTGGATTCCAGGATACTCCCAGGTGTAATTAACTTTTCCTTCAGCAGAGTTCACTGAAGAGCATATGTGACTCAGATCACGCGCGCACGCACCCACGCACCCACAGCTTAACTCCCTGATTTTGTAAAACAACCTGTATCTTTCATCAGATCTTTTTTGTTCAGATTGATTCAGCTCCCGATGTAGTGCGAAACACTGCGGAGGTGGGTGGGCATCTTGTTTACGAGGACACTTCTCAATGCTACTTAGGCACCAGGCTTAAATCTGAAATTACACCAAATTATTAATAAAAACCAAAAGCAATAAGTAATGAAACCACACACGCGCACACACCTTTGCAAGAGATTATTTTATTTTTAGAATTATACATTCCCGAATAATATGTGGAAATGATTACTGATTTCACTTACAAATTCTGTGTTGCAATATAAGTGCACCAAGTCCTATCAGTTACTGCAAAAGGCCACATCTAACTGAAGATGCGGAGTTATAAAAGCACTCTGCTATATCTGCAGCCCAGCTCATAAAACGAAGGGCATGAGCATGTCCACGAAGGGACGGGGGCGGAGTCCCCTTCATCCGTCCTCCACATGACCATCATTAAGGTCAGACAGAGTGAGTCTGGAGAGCAGGAACGGAGCTCCCATCTCAATACGGGGAGAACCTGGAGAGTCGCCCCCTAGTTTGGGGTCCGCATTGGGGAGAGAGGTCTACCTAGAGGTCACCACAAATGTCCACATGAGCAGAGCTGAAGATCCAAGATCATGGCTGTACTGTTTTCAGAGTTACAAAGGCCTCTCACTGGGAAATATGGATTACAGCCCAAAGGGAAACGCTAATAGCATTTTTCTAATCTGCCTCCAGTACATATAACCACTCCCCCCTCCCCCCACCCCATTCAACCGTGAAGAAGAATCAATGAGGCCAATTGATTGAGACAGCTTAGTGAACCAAGAAGTGTCAATGTTCAATCTGAACTGGGGGGTGAGTGATCTGTGGAGCTTAAAATATGACGTTGAATTATTTATTCCATGAATTTGGGGGGGGGGGGTTGATTTAAAAAAATTTAACTGGGATAAACAGCAGGGCAGATTCAGAGAGATATAAGAGAGAATGACAGAAATATGCCACAATTTAATTCCAACAGGGTTGTCATTCCACAGGAGACCATAAAACAGTCATTTACACTAAACCCCCGGCTGACTGGGCTGCGGACGGCCGCTAACACCACATGCACATTACTATGGGTCAATTATAGCTCCAGGCCGTGGGGGAGTCATCTGCCCATTTGTAACCATTTAACAGTCTTAACGTGTCTCCATCACTCCACTCATCCATCATACACCTGTTCCATCCCCTCTCTGCACAAGCTAAAAGCCTTTCAGTGAACAGTTTAATTTGCAACCCCCCTACCCTCCTTCACCCCCCCCTGCCACTTTCTCTGGCTGTTGTCTGGTTCGTTCAGCCGTCCTTTCGGAATCCGCATCTCCCCCCCCCCCATCTATTCAACATCCCAGTAATCGTCCTCCTCACCGCCATCTGGACGGGGGCCAGAGCGAGTCACAGGAGTTTGAATTACTGCACACTCATCAGATGGGCCATGGGTGACACAGTCAACTGACAAACGTGTACACAGATCACTGGCTTTAAGGACATAATTATGTTTCCCACAATGATTAGGATAAGTGAAATAACACTCGTCTCAAAAGGTGCCTTTTGTTTGTAAAGCATCTGGTTCCCCCCCCCGCCCCCGCCCTTAAAACTCCCAGTCAACAGAAGCTGCGGAGGAAGGGTGGAATGATTTAGGGTCCATCACATCTGTCAAATTCAAGATGACTCGTTACGTCGCCTTCGTTAATTTTACGGGATAGGGGGCAGATCCTATTGGACAGCAGAGGGCACCCTCAGGAGGAGGACAAAAGGGTGACATGATTGAGTGTGACCCAGACAAAGGATCCGCTGTGATGCTCTTTGTATGCAGACAAAATGGCCACTGCAATTCATCAACAGCATTTACCTGGACAGACTGGAGCTGGGGCATCAACGGCACCACTACCGGAGACGGGAACATCACACACGACGGGTGACGAGCAGCCGAGCAGGCCAAGTCTCCGCGCCCGTGCTTGGAAGTGTGTCGATTTAATCTCAGCCTCGGCAGAACAGTCACATGTCTGTAGGTCCGTGAGGAAGACCTTTAACCCCCTGCTCCAGGGGTGTGGCACGTTAACTGACTCTGTGCCATGAGCCCCAAACTATGGATAGTGTGGCTCAGTGAAGAGAAGAATCCCAAGGTACATGTACTCCTACTTGTGCAAATGGCAAACACTGGATTTATTATCCGTCAGTGGTGCTTCCATCAGATCGGTGTGGTCTCATTTGTATGAAATCCCCAGGGGCTTGGCTTGGGGGCGGGAGACAAAGGCTGACTGCGCAGCCTTTGCGGTTAGGCTGCGCAAATACAGGTGACGGTGTGCATTACTGACTGGATGGGCATATGTCAAAAACACGCACAGCGCTTTAACACGACAGCAGCATGCTGTCATCTCACAGGAAAGTGGCTCCATGTATCCCAAACCTGTTTCTATTTTCTTTTTTCAAAATCAGGAAGAGAAAAAACTTGAAATCAATAAAAAAAAATGCCGGAAGCTCACCCCCATTGCGTATAATCAAATTTTTTTTATGAAATGTTCCAGGAATACTGAGGTTTGCTGATGTTTGTAATTCCATGTTGCTACAGATTTTTGTCTCTTCATTGCCATTTCCAGAATACTTCCCATTTTTAAAAAGCACGCACGAATTCCAGTACCCCCCCCCACTGCCCCCAACACTAAAGTTTTAAACAGCTGTGCCAGTCTGCTGACCTACAGATGAGGCCGGTTTTTACTCTCTTTCCAAAGGGCCACAAAAACGGCTACTATAAGGATCCACCCTGTCACTAGCACTGTACATTTGATTTTAACTTAACGATATAATACATAACAATAGATAACATATACGATTCACAGCATGCTGACACATTCGATTCTTTCACTAGAATTTGCTTAGATCAAATAAACACAACACTCTTCAAAACAGTAGAAATTCTGCATAACAGTACAAGAGCAACCACTATAGCCCTGAAACAATGTTGCCATTTGAGTATTATCGACAGAAGATTATATGTTTAAAAAGCCAAGGAAAACCATCAGCGCATGTTTCAATGAAAAGTGTAGCAATTAAAACACACAGTTCTCCATCACCCCCCTCCAATATAGCAGCGACTCCCAATCCAGTCCACGGGGAGCCACAGTAGGTCCACGTTTGTGTGCCCTCCGAGTCCCCTACCAGACAGTCCACATTTTTGCTCTCGCCCAGCTTCCGGTAAAAACATACATTGTCTGCGGGTCCCCAAGGACCGGATTGGGACCCACTGCAGTATAGGGTCAGAGTGAGTGAACTGCAGACAGCACAGACACAACACACCCTAGATGGGATTCAGGTCAAACTCAGGTCACACACACAATCTCATACCACAAGCAACTAAGAGAGAAAAAACCGACGTAAGCACAAAGACCACATGCAAACTCCATGCGCAGAGCTCCAAACACCAACCCTCAGTCAACGGACTCTCTCTATACCCACCAGTTCATTAATAGGTGTGAACGCATCTCCTGTGATACGCTGACACCTGTCCAGCATGTTCTTGTGCGCTGTGCTTGCCAGGATAGTATCCAAGCTCACCATGACCCTGCCCTAGATGAGCACTTACGGGAAAAACGGACGGATGAAATAATAAATAGTGACAGCCGCTAGACGTGAGATAGCGAGCAGGGACACCAGGCAGCAGCTCACCTTGAGGGAAAGTAAATTCTCTTACTCAAGGTTCTCAGCAGAGCCCCAACCCCCGCATTAAAACAGCACATTACTCAAGAGAAATAAATAAATAAGGGAAAACTGAATTAACTGATCTGATTACACTGCTTCTCATGGCTACCATCACTTTTCCGAGTTCTGAAAGAAAGTCACCTTTTCCGAAAGGGAAATGGGTTAGCAGTCTGAGTGACCTCACTAGTTTTTTTTGGTTGATGCTTTCAGGAGAGCCACAGGTGATAGGGAATATTGTGACATCTTACATAGTCACATTCCGGCATGACTTGGCTCAAGTTATCACGGCACGTCAACCACAGTCAACGAACAAAAATCACAATGCGAAAGGTTCACACTAGATGTATCCTGCCAGAGAAGAGCACGAAAATGCCCAGGGACGGGCTAAAACAAAAACCATGTGACAAACATCTATAACTTGGATGGTAGGGGGCAAAGCGTGAAAAATTTTGGCGCTTTTCCACTGGCATACAGAAACCAAGCCATACCTGAGCCATACCCCGAGAGAGACCAATCACAGGGAGGTTCCTGCCCGTACCCCGAGAGAGACCAATCACAGGGAGGTTCCTGCCCGTACCCCGAGAGAGACCAATCACAGGGAGGTTCCTGCCCGTACCCCGAGAGAGACCAATCACAGTGAGGTTCCTGCTCGGGCTGGTTTTTCGCTGCTGAAGAGTCAGCTTGGCAAAGGTATAAAACCAAAAAACCAGAGAGACATTTACTGTTCACAGTGTACATCGTGATTCACTGTGTGTTAATTTCCGCTAGGAAGTCTGAGAATTACAGTCTTGTTAGCATTAAATGCTAGCAGAATTAGCATGTGCTTGTATAAATATGCATTACGAAGCCATTCTGTTCAACTGCTGTATAGTACTTTTTTTTTTTTTTTTTTTTACTTTTTGTTTTTAGGTAAGAGGTTACCTAAAAAGTTAAAAAGGTTCTGTTTTACTGGGAACGCATCGATACATTGCGATTTGCCATACTTCTAATAATGAATACAGCCTAAAATATACCTCTTTTCCTTCAAATAATTCAATATTGATTACATTTTTCTTTCCATGAAAACTGACTTATTTATCAAATATACAAAGTGAATAGAAAATACAGTCAAGACACTGACAAGGATAGAAAAAATGATTTCTGCTTGAAATTTTTTTTTTTTGCTTTCAACTTGGCTTTCATCAAAGAATCCTCCATCTGCAGCAATCACAGCCTTGCAGGCCTTTGGCATTCTAGCTATCAATTTGCTGAGGTCATCTGTGGAAATTTCATCCTATCTCCCACAAATTGGATTGGCTTGATGGGCACTGACTGCTTCTAAATAGGTCTGGTATAATTTGGAGCTGTGCTTTGGGTCATTTTCCCGTCGTGGGATGAGATTGGGTCCAATCAAGCGCCATTCACAGGCTATGGCAGCAAGGTGTCGCAAAAAGTTAGAGTCATAGTCTTCCTCGTTTAAGATTCCTTTTAACCTGTATAACATTTCCCATTTTACCAGTATAAATACCCCCAAAACACCACATTTCCCGCACCATGCTTGACAGATGGCTTCAAGAACTCCTCCAGCGCCTTTTCATTTGTTCTGAGTCCCACAAATTGTTTTTTCTATGATCCAAAGAACTCAAATTTTAGATTAAATTGGTCCATATCATCTTCCAGCCAATGGTTGTGTTCTTTTGGGGATTTTAACCTTTTATTGGCCAGCATCAGCTGAGGACCTGTGTGGAGTTTCTCAAACTAGAGATTGATGTTCTCATCTTCCCGGGGCCTACCACTTCTCTTTGTATGCTGGTTAGAGCAAGTTTGCGCTACTCTGTGAAGGGAGTCCACACTTTCATTTTATTGCTAACTTTGCACATGGAATAGCCTTCATTTACCAAAAACGACAGACCGATGAGTTTCTGAAGAAAGCTTTCTTTCTGACCATTTGAGACCATAGTCAAACAAACAAATTCTGATGCTCCAGATACCCAAGTGGCCAAAGAAGGCCAGTTTTATTGCTTTCCTTCAACAGCACGTCCGTTTTCAGCTGTGCTAACATAATCGCACAAAGGTTTTCTATAATAACGGATAAGCTTTTTTACATGATAACTTGGCCAACACAATGTGCCGCTGGACCATTGGAGTGATGGATCCCGAAAATGGGCCCTTAGTACCTCTATGTAGATATTCTGTTAAAAATCAGTCTACACCAGCTATTAATCATTTACAAGATAAACAATGTCTAGACTGATCGGATTATTTTAATGTTATTTTAATTAAAATTGTGATTTTCTTTCAAAAACAGGGAAATTTCTCAATGACTCCAAACTTTTGAGCAATAGTGCACATACATACATACATACATACATACATACATACATACAGTATAGAAGTAAGAATACTCCAAAGTAGGAAACCTGAGCAATGTTTGTATGGAAAGTTACTCCAGTTTAAAAGCTTGGGGATTAAGTTTGTTTTGCCTCAAAGCCAATGTTTATGTACTAATCTGGTGCATTGGAGCCAGTAATAATTGCAGAAGCTCAAGACAGGAACAGATGGCATCTTGGTGACAAATGTAAGTGGAGGCTAAGGGACTGGTCAGTCCCATACTTTCATGAAGATGTCCGATATGCTTACGCTGCCGAAACTACCCGCACCACATCATAATATACCACGCTTAGACTTTTCTTTGGCATCGGAGTCTGGACCGGGAGCATGGATGACAAAGGCGGTCTGGTATTTTAAAAACATTACTTTGTCCCTTTTGGCCATGTCTCAACCCCCCCCCCAAGCTAGTACAGATTTCAAAGCAACCGGTCAGGAAATAAGCCTTGTTTCAGCGAGTAGTCATCACATGGCGGGAGACTGGTGAGAAAGGCAGCAGCACATGTCCCAAACCTCACAGCTATTTTCCCTGAAACAGGCAAGTATAAAAACTACTGAATAACCAAATGACAGCCAGCGTTCGACGCTCGTTTATCACCGAGACCAACCAAAAGAAAGGGCAGCTGGGGTTCTCCACCCCCATGCGATTGACAGGTCAGGTGTGGCAAACCAGCCTTTGTTCCCCCCCCCCCTCCAACTCTGCTTCCTGTCATCACGCTTCATTTGCCTGTAATCCTACAACTGGCTCCCAGCCTCTAGTCAACAGATCCTCGAGGAAGATACGGCGACCACGAAACGCAGTTTGTCCACAAGCAGCATGTCCTCTCACCCATACGGACAGATCCTGGTGCCTGTCCTCGCAAGCACAGGGGCACAAGGCGGGGGGCACCCATCTCAAAAAAGAAAAAAAACACAGAAATTGTTGTTTGCATTTTCCATAATTGCAAACAAACAAATTATTTGTATGTACGGATTATGCAGGGTGGTGGGAGTCCGGAGCTGGGAGCAGGAAATGGAGAGAGGGCAGTTTAATACCACCTGTCCTGGAGGGGGGAGGTCACAGAGGCCTGGAGCTCGTCTCAGGCAGCATGAAGCACAAGGCTGGTATATATCCAGAAAGGAAAGGCATGCTTGTCCATATTGGATCAGAATCAGAAATACACACATGTAAACATACACACATTTGTTTTAAAAATTTGAGGTTTATTGGTTTTAACTCGCAAAATTCCCCCACATGACCCGAGCCGATCAGGGCCGCTAGAAACACACCGGCGGAGAGAAGCTTCACAAGCAGCTGGGTAAACATAGACAAACACGGGCCCCCTGCTCACACGTCACGGCCCCGGGGGGCCACACATTTACATTACTTTTCTCCGGCACAGTTTTCCTTCTCATTTTTCACCCATTTTACACAGCAGTTTCAGAATAACAAACCAGCATCCCATCAGCTACATGGATGGTCCTTTAATGTGAGGAGTCACATGATGCACATCCAAGCATAACCAAGCATAAATAGATCAAGACTGATTTTGTGTCCTTTAATGCTTACCGGCAATCTGACCAAAAACCAGGTTCACTCAGTTACTTGACAGACATATATAAAGCCATACAGCTTGGTATATTCGGTCTCGCACACAACCAACCCCAACAATTTTTTCCGATTTTCCTCTTCTGCTGAAACAAATGGCATGGACGTCCAGGAAATCACAGCAAGACCCCAACATCGTCACAAGCCCCAAGATCAGCACTGGCAGAGATAATCTGATTGCAGTTGTCACTGCTGACAGGCTGGATTTTGCTGCGCCATTGACAAGCATTATGATGCAGTGCGCAGCCAAAGAGCCACACGCACACTGTCAGTTTTGATTGATGACCTCCTGAAGTATGACGCCATCTGCTTATCTGTTAATCATCCAAAGGAAGTGACAGAAATACTCGCAAGATGGGTGTCAGTTCAAGGATTCACAGGTAGGGTCATGCTCGGGCCTTTCAAGGACGTGATCGATACTGGATTCACCTTACGAGGTGGAAACCTAGCTTACAGTTCAACGGAAGGGCATCACCTTTCCTCTCTCAGATGCTGGGTTTCAGACGGACACATATCTCATTTCCAGCCATTTTCCAAATACTTATCGTGTAGACTGTGGAAACTGCACTGCGATTGCACGCGAAGGCCCTGGCCTTCACATACAAACAGAAAAAAACAGTTGTTTTATCATGTGCTGCTGTAGAGGGGCTTATAACATCAACTACATCATACCATAAACAGATGAAAATGTTTGTAATAGCAGTGAAATACAAAAGTCAAGTGATGAATGCTAGACTCTTGCTCCCACACAGGGCTGCCTCAGCTCTTGGGTGAGAATGGGGGAGGCAGTGCACTCGGCCTTGTCTAATGCCCCCCACCCACCATACCACCTGCACCTCTACCGCCAAAACAGTCACTCACTCAGACCTGGGAAGGAGCAGATCGACATATCCCTGGATCCTGGTTCCACAAAATAATCAAAACACTGGGATTCAGCAGAGTGCAGAGAACAGGCTGGCAACACGGCAACGGGGAGGGGGGAATCAAAGCCGGATGGAGGGGGGGGGGGGGTTTGTTTATACAACCATGGTCAGGAAGAAAATAAAGTCAGGGAGGATGGATGGAGGACTCGAACACGGGGGCCTTAATGTGGTCTGGCCACTAAAAAGGGGGGAAGCTTCTGTGGAAATAGCTTTTTAAATCATCATCATCTCAGAACAAATTCCTGTGGAAAAGACAAGCTCCGCCAAGAATAAAGCTATAAAAATTCATTGCTCCAATATGCTTGCATTTTCGTCAATATATTATTTATCCAAAGCTGTTGAGTTTGTGCCTTACAGT